CCCACATTCCCTCCATTATGGAGGGACCTGGCTGCCGACCACCACGATCTGAGGGAGGGCGATGATCTCGGCGGACACGGTGCTGAAGATCTCCTGCAGTTTGTTAATGACGGGGATCAGAGTCTCCATGCTTCCTTCTCCTCCTCCGCCACTGCCGCCTCCGCCAATTCTACCTCCACCTCCCACCCGGTTCAAACTCCAATTGTGTCCCGCCCACACGACGTCCGAATCCTATTGGATATCCCACCGTCAGTCAACGCAGACAGCCCTCTTCTAGTGGACCGTGTCCCCGTCAATCGTCTAGTCCCGCCCAGCCTTGCGTCTCTATTGGATGGACCGCCGTCAATTACTTGATTCCTTCTTCCATTGGTCAGCCGACGTAACCCTTCCAGGGCATTCCGATTGGCCGATCCCCATCAGTCACCGCCCCTTCCCAATGCTATTTGATAAGGTCGCCGTCACTCAGCGCATCCCTCCACTGGGAGGGCGTTTTCATTGGCGTATATCCATCAATCACCGCACATTGCACTATCCCATTGGATAAGACTCCCCATCACTCAGCTTGACCCTCAACCCAGGCTTTCCGTTTGGTAGAGGCCCGTCAGTCACGGCCCCAGAATTAGGTAATTGGATAAGCTCCCCGTCACTCAGCCTGACCAACCAATCCATGGAAAGCACTTTGGCAGGCACCCGGCTATAGCTCCATCCCATTGGTTAAAGGCACAGTCACACACCCCGCCCTACACCTAGCGTGCGTCCCGTTCGCAGAGACCAATCAATCACCACCCATAGCTGTCTTCCATTGGGCAGATCTGCGGTCAATTGGAAACCCGCCCCTATAGTCAAGTCTTATTGGACAAAACCGTTGACAATCACCATGTCCCGCCCCCAGCTGACGACACCATTGGACAGGCACTTGTCAATCACGCCCACCTCCTGACCAATAGCGACGCTTTCCCTTATCAATTGGTACACACTCCCTAGTCACTTGGGATCACTCATTGATAAATCATCTGATCAATGGGGTCACTCTCCTAATCAATAGGGGCTCTCCTAATGGGGGATATCTCCCCAGATCAACAGGGCAAAGCACCCCATTGACCAAGGTGTTGAACCTTCGCTTTCCCATTGGCCCAAGCCGACATCAGTCTACTAGAGTCTCCGCCCTCCTTTGTCTCCGGTTGGATGGCCGTCACAACGGCACACCGTGTGACCAATAACAATCGAGACTGGCAGCACACCCGCAATCTAATGGTCCATATGCCTGTCAGTCAGAAGTTTGGTGCCCGCCTGCCTCATCCTGATTGGATGCAACGTGCGACTTCCGATCCCGCCCGCCTACCGGGAGGAAGCTTCTCTTCGGCAGGGACAACCCTTTCTGTTGGACGGAAGGGACGTCGCTCAAAGAAGGACCTGTTGTCTATTGGTCAGTGCAGTGTGTGGGCGGAGGCGGACGGTTTGGAACACGCCTCTCTTCGGAAACAAGGTCGGTTGGGGCAGCGAGAGCAACTAGATGGGCTCCAGCTCGGAGCTCCGCGCTCGGGATGCGTCGGCCCCAGCTCGGAGCTGCGCATGAGCGTGCTCCATTGGGCTCCCAGATCTTGGCCCCAGCCCGGAGCTCCGCGACATCCTTCCCACGCCCCTCCACACAATCACCAAGGACCAGCTCCGGGCTGAGAGCTCCGCGATGGGGCGCTTCCTCGCTCCTCAGGCTCCGGAGTAAGGCTCT